ACTGAAGCAAGCAAGCCTCATGTTAGTTTCAAGCTGCCTGGCTGCCGGCCACCATCTTGGCTGGCAGTTAATTTGCATATCTCCCTGATTAGCCAATGGGAAGGGTAGTGGTCGTATGCCAATTACCATGTTTCTCTTTTATTAGATTAGTTCTTTATAAGAAATAGGGAGCCTTGGCATTAATGTAAAATCAGAACTTCTGTTGTTGTTCACTACTTTTTTTATTTCTTAAGTTTTCTCTTAGTCTGAATGTGTCTATATTCAGTTCAATCTTGTCCGCTCCTCAACAAGAATAGTCCATGAACCAGCAGCAGCAACATCAGCTTTCTCAGCAGTGTAGAACCTCAGGTCCTATCCCAGACCCACTGAATCAGAATCTGTATTTTAACAAGATCGCCAGGTGATTTATATGCTCATTAAGGACTGAGAAGCACTATTATAAGGGAAATATAATTTTTAAAAAGATTCCTCTTCATTCAAAGAGCCTTATATTATGTTGGTTAACTGAGCCTTCCTTAGCCAGCAGTATAGAGGTCTGTTTCCCAGGGCAAGGTGGAGAACACAGTTTAAGTGACCATGTATTCTCTCCCCAGTTAACTCACAGTCCCTAATCACAAGGGATCTTGCTGCTTAGAATCACTTGAGGGCTCTTTCAGATGTTGGCTTCCCTGGCAATCTATACCAGACTCGCCCTAGATGATCTCGTCACTCATTATTCAGTAACATTTATTTAGAGCATTTGTGTAAAATATTGATGTAAGCATTTTAAGTGTATGTGCATTTCCATGTATAGGGGAACAGGAGACAGGAGGAAGATTAAAGAGCAGAGGGTTTCAAAAAAGAAATGAAGGAAGTGATCCCTGTTTCTACAGAGCTCATTTTAAAGTATTTTAAAAGATTTACAAAACACAATAGTAATACATACAAGTCAGTTTACAAACTTTCCACCTATTATGGAAATGCCAAATTCATTTCTTTATTCTTTTAACAAGTATTTATTGTGCATCGTGATGAGGTAGTCATAACCTTGACTGAATAACAACATAACCTAAGTTATATAGAATTAATCAGAGCAGTCTTTCTAAATATCGAAAGATGGTGAATGTTGACACACATTTTAAAGACAGTATGCCTAGCAGAAAATGAAAGACATTCAAAATATAGCATTTTGTGTTGAAAAAATATTATTCATTCATTCACTCATGCATCTTTCTAAAAAGATTATTAATTTATTCTTACTTATTGGACACTGTGAATACTTCACATATTGAACATTTATGGAATACCTATTATGCAGCAAGTTCTAGGGATTCCCCCTGAGGCAAATAAGCAAATAATTGCAAATACATTAGGAAGCCATATTAGAGTTATTTCAAGAATACTCTGGAGAAACAAAAGAGAAAGTAGGTGACTCTTGAGGATTCGGAGTCAGATATGACTTCATAAAGAAAATGACATTTGAACTGAGTCTTAAAAGCTAAGAAGTGTTTCATCAAAGGCGGGAATAAAGAAAGGACATTCCAAGCAATGGAAGTAGCATATGCTGTGGAGCTGAAATACGAGTCATCCTTAGGAGCGACAGTACCAGAACTTGAGAATGGCTAAAGGGTAAGATATAAGGAAGTCATGAACCAGAGGCCTTTACACATACTGACTGCTCTCTAGGTGAGGAACTTTATATGGAGCATTTCCACCTCTCTCTCTCTCTCTCTCTCTCTCTCTCTCTCTCTCCCCCCACCCCCTCACACACACACTCCTACCTTTTGCCTACTTAGCTTTATTCACCCTTCATATTCAAATAAAAAATCCTCTTATTAGGGTAATTTTTCTGGACCCTCCAGTATACTTCCATTACTTTCGTTGTGTACTGTCATAAAACCATGTTCCTTTAGAGTGGTTTTCTTAATTTGTGCTTATATACTAATTAATATGATTAATATGGTTAATACCTATTACATCAGTGGCTTGAAGAGTTCTATTTTAACCACACTCATAGGAAGACACACAATAATTCTCTATGATAGTGTAATGGTGGATACGAGACACTATGCATTTGTCAAAACTCACAGAACTGTTTAACACAGAGTGAATCTTAATGTAACCTTCAGACTTAAATTAGTAATAATGTATTAATATTAATTCATCCATTGTAACAGATATACCTCACTAATACAAGATATTGATGATAGGAGAAACTATGGACAGGAGCAGGGGAGATATGGGAACTTCGAACTCTTCTGTGCAATCTTGCTACAAACCTAAAACTGCTCTTAAAAATAAAGTCTGTTTTTAAAAAGTAAAAAAAAAAAAAAAAAGACACATTAAATACAGTATACATTACAAGCCAATGATATACACACATATATGATATATATAGTATCTACAAATATATATCTGCACACATATAAAAATAAGTTTCCTGAAACAGTATTTATCCTTACCATGTGTGATGAAATATATTTTCTATTCTTTTTAATTTTAAAAAAAAATTGTTTATGGGTTGATTTTAGGGCCCACTTCCATTTGTGGTCCAGGGTTTAAAAAACATTACAACAAACTGGCACCACACTAGAATTGAAATAGTGTCTGGTTTTACTCTTTACTCTACCTCAGCACTTCGATGACACTTAGAAATTTAGTGAATGAGTGAAAGGAATGAAAAGCTTTAAAAAGAATCATTTTTAAATGATTATCCTCATTTTTATCAACAAGAAAACTGTGAAGGCTAAAAAAAAAAGTTTAGTAATTTGCTGCAAGTCCTGAGGCTAATAATAGGCAGGAGCAGGATTTAGCTTTGTTTTACTCTAAAGCCTTGCTAATTTTCCCTTGCCCAAAGAAGAAAAAAGAGAAAATGTCTAGGTTGCTACTGGGAGATGGCAGGCTGGTAATATCTTTACTAGAAAAAATAATTAAAAACAATTTATTCACATTTGAGATGCATTTAGTGCAGAATTCTGAAAGCTAATTGACTTTTTAATTTTCAACAGTAATAAAGTAATGATTTGCTTTAAAATTCTGCCAAAATAAGTGAAGGAATAGATGAAACAAGATTGGTAAAATGTTGATAATTGTTGAAGCAAAGACTTCTATGTTTGTTTAAATTTTTCACTTCAAAAAAAGTTTTTTTAAAAAAGAAAAGCCCATGAAAACAGCATAGTAAGAATAGCATTACAGGAAAACTGTTCTCTTTTTTACAAGTGAATGCTGAAAATACTATAAGATTAAAAACAAAAGAAAGTCAAGAGTTTATTAATAATATAATGTTATGAAGCATGAGATACAATATCTTTTACGTAGAAGATACCCAATGTTAATTCTTATCTCCCTCCATAATAGGTCAACCAAAGCCTGTGCGAAAAGAGTGACTCATTTAAACATTATTGTTTACAAGCCTTTAGTAAAAAAAACAATGTTGTAGTCACATAGAGAAATAATGAATTTCACATGTCCTTTTTAAAATAAGGAAAATACTTTTATTACTTATCAGCATGATTGCAAATGTAATTAAAATAGTATTATAGAAAGTGTTATCTTTTCTGTGTATGTGTCCTAGACCCTTGCTGTAAACAGATAACAAGAACTAATGGTCCTGATCTTAAAACTTATTAGGTAGATATTGCCTTACCAGTCATATTGGTCTGAAATCCACATCATATGTGAAGAAAACCCTTTTGAATGTATTTATTTCTAGGAGTATTTTTATCCAGTCATTACTATACTGTATTCAGAAAAAAAATGGATAAGAAGGTTTTTTCAATCTCAATAGTGAAAGGGTTTCTTCCAATTTAAAAATAATTAATGGAAAAAACGTGATGCAGCACTGCCTATACATTCTGATTCAGAATAATATACATTGACCCATTATAAAATACACACACACATACACACACACACACACACACACACACACACACACACACACACACACACACACACACACACACACACACACACACACACACACACACACACACACTGTACTGGAAATCAAGAGACTGGATTTAGTCCTAGCTCTACCACAAGCCAGAACTTGTTCAATGTACTTAACCTTTTCTACCTGAATTCCATTATTCTGTAACGCATTTCCTTCAAATGCCAAGAGAAAAGAATGTTATGTTCTTTCTACTTCACTGGGTTATTATAAAAATCAAACTGAGTGATAACTTTTTTAAAAATAGTATGAAATAATTAAAAATTTTATAGAAAATGGAGAAATGTATAGTAATATCCATGAGTGGCACACACACATCACAAATACATACCCATGAATAAGGTGGTATTCATTAGGAAGATAGGCAAAAAAAACTTCCTATTTTAAAAGTACATGTTTGGAAATTATCAAGCAAGAGGAATACCATCTCATGTGACACCAAGAAAGAGCATGAACTAGGAACACTTCTATTGGTACTTGTGAGTTTAGGATACCAAACCAGGAGTACTAGTAAAGCCATTGTCTCATCTAGGAGATTCCACTTTCCTGAAGCCTATCTGATCATTTGAGTCAAAGTTTAGAATTCCAATAGTAGGTTTTTATTCCTTGCTATAGGTCCATTCTGATGTTTGTTCTTGGTTCTGTTCATCTCACAGCTGCTGATGGCCCAGGAGATCGTTTCATCATTGGGGAATCCCAAGCCGGTGAACAGGTAGTTTCATAGGCCTGACAGGCCCTAAAGAGTTCAGTTTCATGCACTTCCAGGATCTAATTCTAAGTTTAAACCATCACTGTAAGGGAAATCTTAGAGAGGGATTAGACACGTTATTAGAGATCAAAGGAGAGTTCCCATGAGAAGAACCAATTCTTCTTGCTGTAAGAATCTGCATCTATTAATATAGGGCATGGTGTTGTCATGTCTCATAGACATGCCCACAAACATTTTCCAGCCCTTGACTGGATGATTCTTTCTTCCTGTATAAATATCAATGTTCTGAATGGAACTACCACCGGAAGTGTTTTAAAAATTACATGGAATGCTCAGGGAACTGCCAATTGTTTGTAGTACTCAGAGCCAGGTATTACCTTGGCAGAAGATTACATTAAAATATAACAATTCTGAATGAGCCTGGAATGTATTTTCAAATAGCAGAATAAGGGGATACATAGTACAATCCCAAGAATCACTTTCTCCAATAACTGAGAAAAGCAGGGAGAACACTGGAGTTGTAAGTCACAAAGGATTGTATACTTCATGTAGTTGTTGTGATAATGAGATTATTCATGTTCATTTATTCATTCTGGAAATATTTATTGACTACCAACTTCATGCCAGACACTTTTTAGGCTTTGGAATGGTAGAGCAATAAATATGTCTGGAAAGAGGTGATTAAGAAGAGTAATGTGGGGACTATCCAAGATATAGATGGGTTAAGAGAAACTAATGAAGAAATGTGAAGCACCCAGGGGATAACAGTGAAATTCCATTACGATCTCTATGTCTGAAGGAGTGGACCTGTGGAGATTCATAGCTATGGCTCAGGGTCACCTGTCAGTGATAGTGATGACCTGGCCTTCACCAAAGTGCAGCCCAGCAGGGAAAAAGCAAAGGGAATATAAACCTGCTTTTCTCTTCTGCCCTCTCTCTCTTGTTGACCCCTCCCATTGGCTTTACCTAACCAGAATCCAGGGATGGAAACCTGCTTGAAATAGTCCATTAGAGGTCAGCCTTCTGGGCCACAGCACAGGATGGTATGATGATGTGATCTGGAGAGGCAAACAGAAAAATAAAGCAAATTCCTATCTTTGTTGAGCTTAGATTATTATATAAATTGAATGTAATAATGCACTTAACACTGTACCAAACATAGATTGAGGGTTCAATAATATTATCTATTAGTGGGATTGTTTGTAGTGATAATATTGAAAGAAGCTTTTTAAAGCTGTTCTAATAAATAAATTTCCAGTTTTACTCCATATGTATATCCAGTGGAGAGGTATATATCCTTAGTTATTCCCTAAAATGTTTTTAATCTGTTAAAAAATACATAACTTAAAATGTACCATCTTAGTCATTTTTAAGTATACAGTATAGTAGTGTTAAATATATTCACATTGTGACCTAAAATTTTAGTATATGTACTGCCGAAGCAAGCACATAACCTAAGATTTTAAATAAATAATTATGATGCAGATATCTTTGGAAAGATACTTATTTTAAAATGTTTTTATTGATTTCAGAGAGAGGAGGGGAGAGGGAGATCAATGATGAGAGAGAATCATCGATTGGCTGCCTGCTACACGCCCCCACTACTGGGGATTGAGCCCACAACTCAGGCATGTGCCCTGACTGGGAATCAAACCATGACCTCCTGGTTCATAGGTAGACACACAACCACTGAGTGACACTGACCAGGCTGGAAAGATTTTTATTAGGGAATTAATATTATCTCAGAATTTTATCTTCAAGGAAGTTTGAAGCATTTTTCCTCCCAATTCTGACCTAAATCATGGCCAATGACAAGTTATTTATCTAAGGCCAGATCAAACCTATCAGATGGATCTTATAGAAATATGCTTTTTCCTATGCTAGGAGAAGTTTACCAGGCAGGTCTTATAATCGGTCTCCTACCATTCCTTATGAGAGTTCAGACAGTGAAAATCTCAAATATAATGTTTCATCTGAATTATTATAGGCACTACAATCATTTTAAAATTATCTAATTACATTTGGTAGAAAGATTTCAAGAGCAATAATTTAAATAATTTTTCTGACTTGCCTATATTTAACCAAAAAGTTTAGTTTTAAGTTACGACATTTCTCAAATATCAAAACTTTAGTAAATGTCTAATGTGCTGGTTTTTCATAATTGTCATGCATAAAATCATTTTGCATGGCATTTTTTTCTTAAAGACTCTGAAATCACTTTATATATATTAAGAAAATTCACATTTGAATGAGAGACAATAATGGCACGTGTAAGTGGCAGTTCTTCAAAAGGAAAACAGGGTACCACAAAAGGCATCTAATGGTCATTACCATAAATCAAGTTAAAGCCTCTTAGAGTGTACCTGTACCTGTTTGTGACTAGCTTTCATTACATTGGCCCAAAATGAACAAGACTGTATGATTTTCCTTTTATGGTTTGTTTCTAAAAATGTAACATCTCCTACAGGAAAATGTTAGTTTTACTTAACAGCAGTAAAGTAAATCAGCTCTTTCTTACATGTTTGTGTTTCCAGCCAACTCAGACAGTAATGCCTGGACAAGTCATGCGGGTTACAACAGGTGCTCCAATCCCCTGCGGTGCTGATGCTGTAGTACAAGTAGAAGATACCGAACTTATCAGGGAGTCTGATGATGTACGTTATCACCAGGTCTTATCATTACATTCCTGTGGCAGTATATTAAGTCATATCCATTTTCTGGAATGTTTATGAGAATAACCCAGTGTCTTTTGGTTATGTTAGGATCTTACAATGTAGTGTATGAGTCTACACTAAATAATGAATTGCCTTAGGCTTGAAAATCTCTTGTTATAGGAGACATTTCTATGATTACAGACAGTCCTCGGGTTACGTCGGACTCAGCGTACGTCATTTCATGGTTACGTCACCATCTCCCATTTATTTTTTTTTTAATTTCTGTCATTCGATGTATGTACATATGTGCTTTATGTTTTTTATTATTTATTTACCACAAGTAAAGGTCAAATTTTTTTTACTGTTTCACTTCATTACTGCTGTGTATGTGCTCCATGTGAGTGATGTAGGTGCTTGTGTAGGTGGGTTCCGACTTACGGCGAAAATCGCATTACGTACCACCGTAGGAATGGATCTCCGACATAACCCGAGGACCCACTGTATTACTGTGATTATAGCAGAACTTGAACCACATTGATTCAAGAAATATCGCATGCAAACAAGGAAAGAAACTACCTCAAGATAAAAGAGCAGAGGTATTAATTGTTAACATACCTTCTAGCTAAGGAGTTTGTTAACAGACACTGGCTTCTGATAATGTAATGGGAGACTTAATAGAGAAAAATTTAACAAAGAACACTTGGGCAGGTTCTTAAATATTACACTAAGCCAAACAATTGAACAAAATAACATTCAGCTCTAGTATCTATATTTCAGAAAAATCTGTGCCACCTATTGACAGCCTGGAAATATTAAATTGATACCAGTTTCCCCCTGTATTGCCTGAAATAAAGGACCATGGGATCTTTTTTGGTCTAAGCAGGCCTTCATGTCACTGAAACTAGTGGCAATTAATAAGCCAGAGGATCAGCCACCAATAAAAGAATGGTTTCAACTGAAGTCTTAACGACTGGCTATCTTACTTGTTTTGTGAAGAAGTTTAAGGTAGCTTATATTTTAAAAGCTGAAGTTAAAAATAGCAATATTCTCCCGGCCTGGCATATAGTAAAATTTGGCCATGCTGAGAGACCGCCACTTTTCTTGATCTGGGAATTTTTTAAATCATCTGATCACATGTAATGCTTATAAAGTTCAACTCTTGGCATACAGATCACATTGCTTGCTGTTAAAACTGTCCAGAAGATTTATTGGCATCAGGGAAGCCAACAGAACATTGAAATGCAGAACACATGCCTCCACAGACTCTGCCAGATGACAAAACACAGTTCCAGTCTCACAATATTATTCACAGCCCATAAATGTAAAATTGATGATCACTATTCATTTATAGAAATTTACTACCGGGCAAACTATAAGTCCTTCACTGAAATTTCTGCAGATATTTGGGAACCTTGGTATAGTTTTAAATCCATGATTCATGGGAACAGAAGAGATAGGTTATCTCCTTACACATTCATTAGGTCTACAAGGGTAGCCAAATACATATACAAAGTGAGGCAAAGGTAGATTTAGAGTTGTGAGTATGCAAAACAGTTTATTCTTATATTATTATTTATTAATTGTACTAGAGGTCCGGTGCACAAAAATTTGTGCACTTGGGGGGAGGGAGGGTCCCTCAGCCCAGCCTGTGCCCTCTCGCAGTCTGGGACCCCTCGGGAGATAACGACCTGCTGGCTTAGGC